TTTTCACTGCTCCTTTCTTTGCAAGATTGATTCTGCATGTAAACCATTTCTTAGCTTTTTATATCAGTGATCTTATACCATAATTGGCCTTTTGTGACTGACTTATGTCACTGAGTACAACTTGTTCTACATTCATCCCTGTTTCCTGGTCTCGCATGAATTCTTGATGTATAGTACTCTATTGTGTGAATGTAGCCTAATTTCTTTAGCCATTCATCTCTTGATGGGCACTTGAATGGTTTCCATCTTTTGCTGTTGTAAACAATGCTGCAGTAAGCGTGAGAGTGTGCATGTCAGTTTGTGTCATGATTTTTATTTCTTTGGTAAATATATCCCTTGTGTTGTTATGTTCCATCAAATCGGAGCTGACTCATAGCTGACCCTCCAGCAGGTTTTCAGAGGCTGTAAAATACGTAGGGGGAGGAGATTGCCCTTCTTTCTCCTGAAGAGCAGCTGCTAAGTTTGGACCAAGAATCTTTGAGTTGGCAGCACAATTCTGTGCCACTAAGCCACCAGAGATCCCGAAGGGAAGTCTGTCTAGGAGTGGGATTGCTGAATCAAGTCATCTAACTATCCCCAGATATCTTAGGAAGCACCAAGCTGCTTTCTGTAGAGACTGAAGAAATTGGGAAAAACTCTTCACCCAAGAATACATTAAGATGGCCACCAGACACATGAAGAAATGCTTAAGATCATTAGTTGTTGTTGTGTACCATGGAGTCCCAACCAACCCGTCGGTGACCTACCTCAGGTTATCCGATACAGTAAATCATATCTAGGAGATTTCCCCCTCTTTCTCCTGAGTTTTAGCTGTTAGAGGGATGCAAATAAATACAACGAGATACCATCTTATGCCAGCAAAAATAGCAGTGTTCAGTAAGACAGCAAACAACACATGCTATCAAGAGTATGAGAGGTTCAAACTTTTACACGCTGCTGATGGGAATGCCAAATGATGAATCCATACTGTATTCAGTAGTTGATTATTATGATTTTTTTTTTTTGGCAGTGGATTGTCAGATCTTCAAGGCTTAAACTGCTAACTTCTTGTTAATCTCTCAACACATTATCCATTTGCACCTCTGGGGCACTCCTTCTAAGATATAACCACCTAATTTTCTTACTCAGCGGTACTTGTTGTATATATACACACATGGCACATACACCCCTGGAGATGATTTCCTTCTCTATTTCAGAACATCCACAACTTGCCCTAGAAATGTGTCTCCACTGGTGGAAATCACCTCTCTAGGAAAGACACCTGCCTAATTCCCTGCACTGGATTTCACAAGTTTCCCGGAGGAACGGTGCTATAAATTATAGCTTCCTGTCGCTGCCATAGAATTATTAGCAACAGCTTTTGGGTATTTCACAGGTTAAATAAGCAACTGTGTTCTTTCACAGAAACTTAAAAATGATTCATTGAAGCAACGTGATCAGAATCCTAAATAATTTACTTATGAATAAAGTCTCAGAAAAATAGAAACCCATGATAAACCAGGAGAGGCCAGTACAATGATAATACCCCCCCCATGATGAAAAGAATGTCAGATACAGTTTGATGACCTATTTATTTAAAGCAAATGAGATTCAATGAAATTCCAGAGCACAGTAATTGGGACTGTCTTTAGAATTCATCTTAATATAATAGCAGCTGTCCGCGGAGAGCTGGGCTTCTCTCCACCACCTCTCAGTTGCCTGCTATTTAATTGAGTTTCTGCGAGGCAGGAATCATAGCTGAGCCCTTGGAGAGTTCCAGCCAAGTGTCCAAAAGGTCAGACGGGGCTTCTATGCTGACCTCCAGCTGAACCGTCCCTGCCCAAAATGCTTGTATGGGGCTGCTCGGCTTGGAGAACATTTTTGCCTCTCAGGGCATTTTCCTCCCATGGAAAGCATGCTGCACATAATGATTGTATCTAAAAAAGCCTGGAACTGAGGCCCCAGGACCCCGTGTAAAGCCCCATCTCTCTCCTCTCTAGACTAGTCAGAGCAGTATGTATCCCAGGCCACCAACTAGGAGGATTCCCAGGACCGAGCTGATCCCTGAACTCACAACTGTGATTGGTGACCTCAAAAGGACACGACACAAAATCAGCCTCAGGATGTTCATTGCCTCAAGGGAGAGGCACAGTGGTTGTTAGGTTATGTACTGTCGACAAGGAATCAACCCAGTGGATTCTCAGTGGCCATAAATCTCATAGAAGTGTGGCCATTTTTCTCCCATGGGTCAGCTGGTGGATTTGAATCACATGACCTTGGCTTGGCGGTGCAGCACCTTACCACTAGGCCACCAGAGCTCCCTATGATAAGTTGTGTTATTAGGTGCTATGGAGTTGAGTAAGACTCATAATGACGCTTAAACAACAGATCTGGATCCTGACTCACCCTGTGCCATCTGCATCACCTCTGACATCAGTGAGTGAGCCCATTGCTACAGTCACTCTGTCGGTTCATCTCGTTGAGGGTCTTCCTCTCTCTCAGTTCTGACTCACAGTAAAGATGGTCTCCCTGCCCCTTCTGATCACTGTAGTGACCATTTTAGCTGTCACGACTCTGGCCCTTTTTCTTGGGGATCTTTTTATGCAGAGAAAACAGTCTTAAGTCTGGAATTCAGGCTTCCGAGTCCACCTCCCATCTGTCCACATCAGCTTGGTTCACTCACCCCTTGAAGTCTCCTTCAAAACCTTTCCTGTTTCCCCAAAGGACCAAAAAGCAAAAACACAACAGGGAACATGTTTGTTTCTGAAGCACATAAGTCAGTTTTAAAAATCATAATCTTTTGTAATTTATTGTAATGTCTTTTAACTCTATGCTTCCAATCGATTTTGTTTTCATTTGAAGTTTCTTGAAAGAAAAATAAGGACGTACAAGGAAACTAATTTAACTATTTTAGCCCTGCTCCATCATACAGACTATCTTCAAGAGAAAAACATGGATAACTGAGGAAACCCAGTGAGCTGTCATCTACTCTGTCTAGGGAGGAAGCACCTACTCTATCGGGGGGTGGGGTGGTGTGTGGGACAGGGGCAGTAATAATAAATGGAGTCTGTAATGGAAAAAGCCAGCCCTTTGCTTTTTGTTGTTGTTTTAACTTCTGATTTGGTTTAAAGTGTATAGAATAAATTTATTTTCCATGGGGAAATTCATGCATGTTTTAATTTGAGACATTGATTGTAATCCCCCAGTGGAAACACTTCATCCACTGCCTCCCTGTGTTTACATTTTCACCCATCCTTGTTTCCTGCCCCTTTTCTGCCTTCTCAGTTTTCTCTCTGGGTGAATTCTGCCCTTCAGTTCTTGTATGGTCAATGGTTGTAAAGAGTGTGCTCCTCTCATGTCAGCCATCAGCTCCTAACCATGTCGGTTGGCTAAAGGTTAAGACAGAGCAAAGAATTCAGTGATAGGCTTGAAGGGTGAGTCAGCAGTAGAGTCTCAGTGATGCCACTAGTCTCGCTAAGACGAGTGAGCCAGGCCATTGTTTATGACTTGAGTTTTCTACGTTCCCCCCCTCCCCCCGAAGGACATGCATGGTGATCCTTGGTCCAGTGGTAGACACCATCTAATTCTTAGTCTTGAAGCTGATGGTCCTTTAGTTTTTTGGACTAATTGTTGCTGTGTGTCTTTGATTTTCTTCCCTTTCCTTTGCTTCTGGTGAGAAAAGACCAATAGCTGCAGCTTGGATGGCTGCATACTGTCTAAGCTTTACCAAGCTTTAAATATCCTGGTTGCCGCTCTCTGACCCAGGCGTTGTCTTTGTGGATTAGGTCACACAGAGCACTTACTTTAGTTAGTCTGTTTCTTCCTCAATTCTGAGTGGATTTTAGAGGGTGCAGTGTGCTCTGCTTAATGTAGAATTGTCAGAGAATGTGTAGATTCGGAGAACGGGCTTCAGCCCCAGAGGGTCCTGTGTGAGGTTAGGAAGGCCGGTGTGCCCTGCGGCTACAAGCCTGGCTCACCTTTATATGAACTCAGGGACTCTGAACAAGTCAGCAACCTCCCCAAATGACAGGTTTTTCATCTGCTCAATTAAAAAGTAAAATGATACTGACCCCAAGGGGTTATGTAGGAATTAAATGTGAAAAGTCAGCAGTGCACTGGGCAGAGGCCTGGTGCCAGGGAAGTACTCGATGCATGTTAACGATGGTGGTGGTGGTGGTGGTAACTGTGATAGTGATGGTGACAGTGATGGTGGTGGGAGTAGTGGTGATAATTGCAACGGTGGTGATGACAGTGGTAGTGATGGTGCTAGTGGTGATAATTCTGATGGTGATGGTGACATTGATGGTGGTGATAATGTTGCTAGTGACAATTATGTAGCAGAAAGAGCACAAATGTAGAAGTCAAGTAAACCAGTTGTCTGTGGAGTCAGCATGGTTACCCCAGTAGGGAAATAGAACTTCACATTAGTTTCCTGGGGGGCAGGATATCAGTTGTATCAACCTGTGTTGGTGTATGACACTGTCTAGAGGGGGAAGATTGGTGGTGTTCTGTAGCTTCTTATTGTTAGGGACTGTTCAGTTTATTTTGACTCAGCGTGACCCATATGACAGGCTAGAGCTGCCCTATAGAAAGGAACACTAGTGGTGTAGTGATTGAAGAACTTTGTATTAAACTAAAGGTCTGCAGTTCGAACCCACCAACTGTTCTGTGAGACAAAGAGGAGGCCGTCTGCTTCCATAAGGATTTACAGTGCAATTGTTCTGCCTTGTTCTGCAGGGTTGCTGTGAGCAGGCTTGGACTTGGCAGCAATAGTTCTTACACTAGCTGAGTTTGTGAGCGAGGTAACTTGCACCTGTTCAGGGTCATTGTGGTGCAAGCAGCCTCCTTGGCACAGGCTAGTGCGAGTGAAAGCACATTCGGGTCAGGCGGCTTACACAGCAGCTGCAGGTGTGTGGTTGCTTAACTATGGACCTCTGTGAGCACGAGCCTGTCGCTGGTCCACAGGTCTCGCACTAGAGACTTCGCTCACAGCCATCTCAGACATGCATCCTTCCCCACAGGGCCAAGGTGAAGAAAGGCGTGAGTATCGTCGGGGTACGGGCCAGCAGCCCCTCCATCTGGGACGTCAGGGAGAGCACGGAGCACAGGGGCAAGTATGCACCAGCTGTCATCGTGTGTCACAGGAGACTGTCTGCCTCGGAACACAGGTGAGTCCTGCAGGTGTGTTCAGGTGATCAGCACCTGGACCTCTGCCCTGCCAGACTTGCTGGCATCCCTGTGATCATCACTTGGGTGGGAGGAGGTCATGACTCTGATGTTAGATCACCAGGAAAGATGGGGGAATGCTTCATTTGGGAAAGGTAGGCCTCATGGTTCAGGGTCACCTGTGAGCACATTGTCCACACAAATGGGCTTCCTCCACAGGTGCTCCAGTGTCCCCTCACACCTCTAGTGGTACAACAGACCTGGGGCTGACTAAAGGCCTTGCAAAGCAGGGGTTCCCAAGATCCGACATAGCACTGAGGTGCGTCTGCCTTGCATGTGGTTGGGTGTGCTGTGTCGGCCAGCATGCCTCACACAGTTTGAGTTTATGAGCAGCAATGTAGGAGACAAGGAGATGTGAACAAGACTCCCTCCTGTGTGCCCAGGAACTGGCCTCTGCCTTCAAGCCTGGGGATTTAGGTGGTTGGGCTAGCTCCTTCCATGACAGGTATTTGAAATTTGTCATAATCCACAGAGGTAAAAGAGCTGTTTGGTTTGGGGCGTCATTCTAAATGTGTGTGCATTGGGGGTGTGCAGCCCTGATGAGCACAGCATGCTTAGAGAAAGGCGTGTGAGCAAACACACCAGTGCCGTTAGATGGGACTGACTGTCAGCTCAGGGGAAGTTTGTCTTCGTGTTGGGTGGAGGGTTAGAGAGAGTATTGGGATAAATGCATAGTGTTGGTGTCGTTCTCCGTCCACCTGACTCTGACCATGATGACCTCATGCCCAGGAGGAGGAAAGTCAAGCCCCATTACATCTCCATTGCTGTTGGTATATTTCAGTCAGTTGTTCTGCCTTGATGTTTCAGCCAGTGTGTCTGTCCATTTCATTTAGAATTTCCCTTGTATTTGCGGATGCTCTAATTTATTAGACAAGGTACTTTTGTCTAGTGATTGGGTTTTTTCCAATGAAGTGCCCAGAGTTAACAAGACAAAGTCCAGCATCCTTGCTCCTAAGGAACGTCCCAAATGTCTGTTCTTTGGGCCGTCCATGGCACATTAATATTTATAGACAGACAGATACTTACTTTTATCTCTGCAAGAAGAGGAGGGCTCAACCCTCTGCTTCTCTTTTCTCTGGTGCTGCTTTTGCCTTATATTCTCAGTAGAGCTAACAGTGATGATTACTTTGTGTTCTGGGAGGGACAAAGGGGACTTGAGCCATCTAAGAATGTTGGAGTCACTGCTTCCTGTTCTTGTCATTTTGGCCAAGGAACTGGCGGCATCCCATTGGGCCTGGAGACAAGAGCAAGAAGCCCCCCATGGGCAGGATGTCCTCAGTGGGATGAAGCTACTGTCTTTTGGCCAGCCATGTTAGGGGCTTTTAGAATTTCCCATAGGAAGGAAAAGCAGCTTGATCTCCCAGGGAGGTAGACAGATCGCCAGAAGTTTAGGTCTACCATTCTTGGCCTCTTTCCCCTGTGTCCGCAGCCTCTCTTTAAAGAATCGGGGCCTCTGTGGTTTGTCACGCTATACCTTACTCAGGCATTATTCACAACAGCAAAGAGATGGGAACAGCCCAAGCGCCCATCAGTGATTTAAAAGATAGAGGAAGTAGGGTACAATGGAGTACTAGGCACCATTTAAAAAAATGAAGAATTTGTGAAACATTGCCCAGATGAATCTAGAGGATATTATGAGGAGTGAAATGCATTAGTAACAAGAGGACACCTCTTATTTAAGGCCACCATTATAAAAAGCCAGTGGTTTAAGCTTATAAATGGTCTAAGATCACCATTGTAAAAGCTGGTTTGTGCAGAGAACCACACTAGAATGGTGACTGCATTCTAGCGGAGGGGAGGAGGAGTCATATAAAACTGAGGGCTAGATCATGAGTGAGGAGAACAACAATGCGAATGAGTGAACAAACACTGCAGGTGTTGTAAGTGATGTCGTGGAAGAAATTGTGCACAAGCGATTGATTTAAAAAAAACAACAACACGATGCTTTGTAAACTGTCACTCAGATCACAGTGAAAAAAATCAAAATTTCACAGTGTCCTAATGGAGAGCCTTCTTAGCCCCTTTTGGTTCAGACACCATCCTTATTTCCTGCTCTGATCTAGATGACAGGAAACCCCCCCACACACACACACACCCCTATAGCATGTGTGTGTGCACATTGTGCACATTGTACATATATACCTGTGAAAGTATAAATAGATATGATACAGAAGCCAAACCACACCCACTGCATTGAGATCTGTCTGACTCCCCATCACCCTGGAGGACAGATGCAGCTGCTGTGTAGGGTTTCCAAGGCTGGAAATCTTTACAGACGCAGACTGTCCATCTCCCTCCTGCAGAGCACTTGAGGGGTGCAAACCACCAGTTAGCAACAGAGCACTTTATCCCAGTGCCACCAGTGGTGGCCTCATGATTACCATTTATTTCTCATTATGTCACGGTTTAGGACTCACCTTTGCCCTTAGATGCTGGCCCTGCCCTGCAGAAGAGAACAGTGGCAGGACTTTCAAGGCTGTGACCTTTCAGGACCAGGTCACAAGGTGCCTCTGGGTGAATTTGAACTGCAAAGCCTTGGGGAATTAGCCAAGCACTCTGTGATCTGTACCACTCACGCTCTCCTTCAGGGACTCTCAGAAAATGACCCTATGATGTTTGGAATAGTGAGGGGACCCGGCTGAGATCTGACTCTCTTTTTCTTGACCATAATTGGAGCTGCATCCTATAGAAGATACGTTAATAATGTCGGTAGCTTTTGCTTCTGAATTGGTCTTGCTTTATAAGTTTTTCCTGCTCTGGATTTTCTTAAGTTGTCCTTAAAAGTCAGACCGTGGATGGTATGAATGCAGAAGAGGCGCCTTAATTAACTGGAGAGGCCTAGATGTTGGGTTGCTAGCACTTAGCCGTGGATCAGGAAGTTGTGTTAATGAAGTTAAGCCTCTGTGACAGGTATAATTTGATGGATGAAGGAGACCCTTGTGCTCAGATGAGCACAACAGGAGAGAGGCAGACCTCTTGTTGACTAAGTTTGCTTGCTGAAAACCTTGTCATCCCGGCATTACCATATGAATGTGCTCACAACCATCAGATCTGTTTTGATTGAGCTTTGCTGGCAAATATTATGGAACAGAACCAAAAGAGCTAATTAAGCCCTGTCCCTCAAACTCCATTTTCCCCCCATTCAAAATATTGCTCTCTAGAGCGCTGTGTCAGCTTAGATAACTGTTTGCCTAAACTGAACTAAACACTGAACCGACAGCCACCGGGTCCATCCTGACTCACGGTGAAGCCCCCACAGGCTCTCTGGGTGCTGAGTCTTCTCGGGGCCAAGCTGCCTCTCACCTTCTTCCATCGATCATCTCGTGGACTCGAACTGCCAGCCTCTCAGTTAGCAGCTCAGCACTTAACCCAGATGTCTCACTGACAGGGAGCCACCTGTTGTCGTGAACTCATCACTGCCTCAGGAGTGTGGCCCCACGTTCACCACAGGGAGACGTTGGATGATTTCAGATAACGGCCTGAACAGGAGCAAGAGGCACACAAGCTGTTCCGTTTTCAATCACAGCTTGTGATTGATGAGATGCTCAACCCCTTATGTAAATAGTGGGTCCTGGAGTGCTCTGTCACTTGCTAATAGAGTGTCTTGTCGACAGGCAAGAAAATACCCAGAGTATCATACCTGCTCATGATTCGTTTCCATTTAATCCAGGTGATAGTTCTTGTTTAAAAATTCAGTTAAATGAAAACAAGAATTGGCGTAAGTAAAGCAGAAGAGAGAGTTGTCGTTGAGTAGACGGTGACTCCTGGTGACCCCTCTGTCAGAGTGCAACTGTGTCACACAGTCGATGGTGACCTCTCAGCGGGAGATGGTGACATCGCTCTAGAATGCCCTCTGATCTGGTCTCATTAACTACATAGAGGTGGGGATTTACAACTCAGGATAATTACTTTCTTCTGAGAATCATGGCCCTGCCAGGGCGATGCGTGTTTGAGGCACACGGTCCAGTCCTCGAGGGTACTGTTGAGTCGGCCCTCACCCCCAGCAGTCCCGTGGACACTGGAACTGCACGTCGTGCTGTCCTGCACCGTCTTCACCACTGTTTCTGTTGGTACCCGTGGCTGCAGCTGCTGCGCTAACCCATCTCGTTGAGGGTCTTCCTCTCCTCCATGGAGTTCTACTTTACGACGTGTGAGGCCCTTCTCAGAGACGATCACGCTTGGTAACAGTTACCATAGAACCTAGCAAGAGAATCGAGGAGGAACAGGCCTCTAGAAAACCTGTCCATGGACGTCCATAGCAGGACTCCTTGTGAGAGCGAAAAAGTAGCTGGTGAGTGAGCACACAGAGCCGGCTAAGTCCCAAGGCCCTCAGTCATGGAAAAGGAGAAGTGTGCAGGGGTGTTTGAGGAAGATGAAGGGACCCAGGAAACAGGATGCGCATCAAAGAACTCCGACCCCAAAAACTAGTTTTTTAATTTTGGGTAAAAATTTGTTTCCCATCCAACAATCCATACGTGTTTTGCATCATGTCATTGGTCTCCCGTAACTGCCTCTTCCCTCTCCCTGCCTGGGCCCTTCATTTCCATTCATCCTCTTTTTCCCTGCCCCTTTCTGCCTTTGGAGCTTGGCTCTTCAGCAGATGCCGTCCTTTCAGGTTTATGGGGCCTGTTACTCTGAGGAGTTTGACCCTCCTTGGTGTTATTGACCATCTTTATGGGCCTGACTGTTGTTTGACCGTCAGGTGATCACCAAGGTGAGTTCCTTTCCAGATTGGGAGGGGGCCTACAGGTCACTGACTCAAGGGCTCCACCAACTCCATCAGATCAGTAAGGTGGCTCACTCCATGATCCTGTTCACTCAGAATGTCTAGATTAGGTGGTTTGAGAAGACAGCAAACCCGAGGTTAACCAGGAGCTAGGAAGGGAGGTGAGGGAACGAAGGGTAGCAGTTGGTGGACACAAGGCTGCTTTTTGGGTGATGA